TGAGGTGATGCATTAGGTCCGCGTTTAAATTTAGATTTATAGCACGAAACACAACACCTGTATAGTACGGGTTCGCCTAGAAAAATGAGGCTGTGGAGAATTTTTCGGTGACGTCACGGTTTTAAAACTGGCACGCTCCGAAACTAAAGGTTCCTGAATTCTTGCGCTATGTTTACTAGATGATACATAGAACTTTATATTTCGTGTACATTTTTTTTATGAACGAGCGGGCGTACATTTAATAGGTGTACGCTTTGCGATGTTTAAAATTTATCCTTAGAAATAGATGAGGTTATAGTTTACTCACTGGTTTGTCATCGTTAAATGTGCTTGTTTGAATCATCTCGATATGTGAATAAATGTTTTTGTTTTTTCAATACTCAAAAAATAATCGACTGTATAAACCGTTTGCGAATTGAAATGAAGCGCAACAAAGCAAATGTTTTTTCTAGGACTCATTTATTCTGAGAGGAGTTCGTTGCCAAAGAAATTATAATAATATCCATTCAAATGAAGTCGGTTTACATACATCTATATAATTTTTATCTTCGAATTGGGTTCAATGTAGCAATTTTCCTCTTGATCCGTATCGGAAACAAGTTCCTTTATTAACTCTCTTGCGAGATGATTTTATAGAGCAGGGCATATGACGGGGTCACAGATAAAATCGTAAAAAAAATCCCATCGCAAATCCTTCGGGATACTGGTACGAGAGAAAAATCCTTTTTCGCATTCGGTAAATACCGGGAATATTCAATCCGTACGATTAAAATTATTCCACGATTAATAAACGAAAACGGCGATAAAAAAAGTTGTCCGATTGTCTTTTTCCGTTCCTCTTTTTATTCTGTGAAATCTCCAATATCCCGTAGGAAGGTTGGATCCCGTCCGTTCTTGTTTATCGGAAATCGGCTCTGCTTTATTACCCTAGCCCTTGATATAATGCAGAATTCAAAACACAAAGTAAATACCAGTTTATTATAGACATCGCTTAGTCAGTCTAAACGTATTAAATTTAACAAGAGCGGTTTTATTGCGCGAGAATACGTAAACAAAATTTTATTAAATAAGAAGACGATGTTGAAAAAAAAATTTAAAATCATGCGCAATAATATTATCGCACCAATACAAAGTAATGCGCATGATCAAAACAATATCCGATTATCGATTGAATGATGCGATTATTGGTTGTTTTTTTAAAAAAAGTTAGTAATAATACGCGTGTATTATTATGTTTTAAATAAATGTGACCTCCGATCTCGCTATTGTTTGCGTGTTAAACAAAAATAGTGAATACTCTGAACGAAAGAAGATTAACTAATTAAAAATGGAAAACGTGGAATTTACATAGCGCAGCCTACAACGCGTGTTTGATAGCGAGCGTATAACGAAAACCTCCATTGTAGTTAAAAATAGTTTTTATTATATTTTGTTTAAATCCCTATTTTATTACACGTGCAGCAAAGATCATCTGCAACATGTTAGTGTGCGAATCGTATATCTTTTAGCACCGCATAAAGATGCGACGCTTATATAAGCCGGCTTATACGCTAACTTTCACGAATTCATTTACAAATTCAACCATATTTTCGAGTGCTTGGGATTAAACATTTCTATGCACGTATTGATATTGATTTTAGATGGAAATCGGTGACCGAAGCAACAACAATACATGTTAGGCTGATTATCATTAAGTGTTGAATTGGTTTGATATTCGACTAGGCAATTATTGGAATTGTTCCGGTTAAACCTAACCGAAGTCAAAGCGTGCCTGTAAATTAAACAATTCTGCATAAACACAATTAATTTACGGGAATACGACAATATCCCGACGCGAATTCCACGAATTATTTTAACAAAACCGAAAGTTGTTGCCACTCGTTCAACCAATAAGCCCTTGTCCAATCATTTTCATTCAATCACATCAACAGTATTAAGCTCTAATTAACTTTAAGCCAAACAGATATTGAGAACATTTCTCCGAATTTCAATATTGAAATGACATGATAGTTGAACACAATCAAACTATAGATATCGGGGGAAGTTCGCGGAAATCGAATACCCGGAACCAAGTGAATAAAGCTCAGCTTATTAAACGCATGCTGTGTTGTACTGCCAATTTGGGAAATACCATTCGATATGCTATCCCACATCATCGAATGTTGTTTTGATATCCCTTTACGGTTACATTAACTTTGCAGCTTTGGTATTTCAACCTTTTTTTATCTCTTTGTGCAACTAAATGATCCTCTGATAATTACTAAAATTGATACGGAATTGTGTTTTTTACCTCTCTTGTTAAAAAATATATAATTTTAGCTGTCACATCAGATATCTTCATTATTTGTAATATGCTCCTAATCCAGAGAGTTTTACCACGAAAAATTGATTAATTTGTCTTTGAAGTCGAGATACTTCTTCCGTAAACTTTATAGCAGGGTAGACCTGGTTCATCCCAAGTATTCATCGTGATATAAGAAATAATCTCGGCCGACTTAGAATTTTGATATTTTTCCTTAAATGCCCAGAAATGTTTAAAACTTAGCCGACTTCGAAGATGTCGGCCGCCCCAAGTATTATGCCCCAAGTATCAAGAACAATACTTGGCCGAGATCATTTCTGCCATAAATTTCAAGCAGTAACTCCGAATCCAGAGTGTTTTATCACGGAAATTGATTAATTTTGGTTATTTCTTAGAACGGCCGACGTCTTCGAAGTCGGCCGAGATATTTCTTCCATAAACTTTATAGCAGGGTAAACTTGGTTCGTCCCAAGTATTCTTCGTGATATAACAAATAATCTCGGCCGACTTCGAAGATGTCGGCCGCCATAAGTATTATGCCCCAAGTATCAAGAACAATACTTGGCCGAGATCATTTCTGCCATACATTTCAAGCAGCAACTTGTAAAACTACGAATTCAGCAAATTTTGACATTTTTCCTTAAATGCCCAGAAATGTCTAAAACTTAGTAGAAGATTTTCTAGTTTATGCCAAAATTTTGAGAATAAATCTGTTGAATTACTTCTGGTATAAAATAGAATGAAATCGATTTTAGCTGCAAATTCCATGAATTATTTTAATAAAATCGAAAGTAATTCCCATTCGGTGAATCCAAAATTGAATCGCTTTTGATATTATTACATAATATTGATGAACGAACCCAAATGAGCAAGTATTGAAACGAATTCCAGGAATATTGCAATGATTTTTAAATTTATTTATATAATATTAAAAAATCACAAAAGGAGGGAAATAAAGCAATGCTGTACGTTCCGTGAATTATTCAATAAAACTGTTTGTTCCCATTCGGTTCATTAATAATCCCTTGTTAAATCGCTTTATGCGCATCAATATTCATCATTTCATAAACAAACTTAAAAACAACAGGTATTGAGGGAAATTCTAGGAATATTGAAATGAGATGACATTTTCATCCCGCAATTATACCATGATTCGAATTTCAAATTGAATTGCATTTATCAAATATTATTTATATATAAATTTATTTTGATTTTAAAATATTTTGAGAACTAATTGGTTTCTTAAAATGAAATCTGGAGTTTTGCTAACTGCTCGAATTTGATGGGTAATGAAAAAACGATACGTCTAAAAATAACGGAATTGTCTGAAAAACTAGTCAGAATTTATGGAGTTGTAAAAGCCGCCGTAAATTGGTGCCGTAATTGTTTTGCGTTTACTAAATCATTTGTATTGATAGTAATACCATGGAGAAATTGAATAGACGGTCATGCGCAGTGATTATTTTTAACGTTAAATATGACCTTTAGGTATGAAAATGAAAACAGTTTTATTGTTTTATAAAAATAAGTGATGATGAAATAAATCTATAATTAAACAAAATTTTGTATGTAGCTCACATTTTGCATTCAAATGCGAACCAGGTGGAATTGTGCAAAGCTAAAGCGAAAAATAGATATAGACTCGTCTGGCCTTTACACTTGTTATATATTATGCCACTATAAATACTCTAATAAAAATATGCGAAAACAACTTCGTAAAGTCGGGAAAAACGCGATTGTTGTCCTAACTCTTCGGCAAAATTTTAGATAAAATTTTTAGTGGACGTCAATGTCATTATCCTTCGTTATAAAAATACATTTTATATCCATTTGTTCGTGCACGTCAGCCGTTTAGGCGGCGGACATTACAAAACCGAAGGAAAAAAACGTCTAAAAATACTCTCCCACTATTTTCGTTATTACTTAAATTATCACTCTATTATTAAAATCTCTTTTGCGGCATCTAAACGCAATCACCTTCCCGATCTTGAAACAACAAAGCGCATTGACGTAAACATCCTTCGTAATCATAAGTCGAATTGCGTCACAACCAACTTTTAACATTCTGATAAAAAAAATATTAACCACCATGACGCATATTTAAAAAATTATTATCTGCCATTAACAATTAATCACAAGTATACAAAAAGAAAATATAATAGATTGCTCACTCGAAACGTTTTATATAATTTTTTCTATTTTTTGCATACTTGAAAAATCTCGTCTACAATACGATACAGTTTCCTTTTTAATGCGAGTTTTATGTTCGTGCAGAGCTTAGCAAACGCGCTTCCGCTACCAAAACTACGTGCCGATGCAATTCGCACAAATACCGGGCACTACTTTGTACTTTTCGGATTCGGGACTCTATAGAAAAGCCCTCTTTTAACTCTGCCTAATGAAGACCCATAGAGACTTGGAAATTGGAGCGGAGACGCGCATTCATCTATCGATCTTTGACGGCCGACAGAAAAAAAGAAACTACTAACTTGAATGTCTAGCCTAGTGGGCGCACTTGTCCCTATTTCCACAAATCTAGGTTTCCAACCATTTTTACTCAAGGTTGAAAAATACTAATATGTATTAATTTTATGATGTCGATTTTTATTTAGTGCTTATGCGCAGATACTCAACTCATCCGCGGTGTAGTATTATGTGTTCAGAGATCCAAAAATACGCACCGACTACTACGTTAAAATATCATATATGCGAGATTTATTGTAAGCGTTAAACAATTGGATCGCGACCATATCTTGTTATTTAGTACTCAGCCCAATAAAGACCCCCATTGTCTTTCAGAGTTACTCACTCCCTTATCTAACGATGTAAACGAAGCTATAATAGAAGATAATAAATACACTTAAGTAGTAGTATACAAAAAATTTTAATTCTCACTTTTCAATTATCATGACTAGCGTCCCGTGAAATATTTACTACTGGGCGCTGAAAATACGTCCAATCCGGATTTTTCAGTCACGCTTTTCAAGGTTAGGCTATTTTCGCTTGTCCCGGGGTACAGCGTTGTATTGTTTGGATTTTTCGGCACCTAATAACGTCCCATCTCAAAATCCTTTACCTGCTACGGGTTTTGATATATTTAGGTTGGTACAGAACCGTTAAACAAAACGAGGTTCGCTTCAAATTCTAACTCTAATGTTTAGCGTTTAACTCGAACGCCGCTGGAATGCGGCCAATTGCATTAGGCCTAAAAGCGAGAAAACAAGGTAACTTAAAAATGAAGCAATAAAGTAGATAGAAAAATCAGATAAAAACACTCCAACCTGTGTATCGAGAAATCGTATTACGTGAAAGGTGCTATCAATATTGACACGACAGCGTCTAGTTACCTATACAAACTCTGATACATCGCTAATATTAAGTGTGACTCTGACATTACAATAACGTGACGTGAAAAGAGGTCACCAAGGACATTGTTGCTATTTGAATTTTTAAGTCGTTGAACTCGATGGTTATAACTTGTAAATGAAGACTTTAAATTTAAACGACTCCGCAAATTAAATCTTTTTCCAGGAGAGTTGTCAAGTAAATTGTTTTTTAATTAATCCTTCTCGGGAAACATCCAAGAAAACGGATTAGCCGGGTGGATTCTGTCTTATTTTAGGTTCTCCTTCTGTTTACCCATTATTGCGCCATATCCACCGGGATAGAAGTTAATATTAGCGGACCCCTGAGTTATGATTCCCGAAACAAAACACTATAAATTAGATTTACGGGATCTATTGGGGCGTAACGTTCGATATCTTCGATATCGTAACGTGTCTCCCCCAACTTTCTGTCAGTGCTGTACCTACTCCCTGGAAATGACGTCAACCAACGCTAGAAACTTTTCAAAATCGCTGTTTCGCTTTAGATAATTGGGTACAGGCAACACAGTTTCCTCGTTAGCAAGTGTTTCGACCTTTTTTAACTCCTTTTTATTCGCTCGTCGAGGTTATTCCAATTCCCGGAGTTCCCGGAAAAGTTATAAGCACCAAATTACTACCGAGGTGATACAACTAAACTTCTATTTCTCATTATAAAAATCATATCGTGGAATGAAATATTTACTGTTACGTGATATTCATTTATATTATCCAACTTGGAACACTTTGTTACTACGAATTTTTTAATTAATGCATTTTATTTATTATTAAATAAATATCACTTGTTTTTCATAAAATGTCGGCAGCTAATATTTTCAGTACTAGATTCTTGAAATATTTTTATTCAACGAAAACTAACACTAGATCTAGAACTAGAAACTTTCTAGTTCTAGGTCTAGTGTTAGTTCCATAACTAAAACTAGAACTAACACAAGATCTAGAACTAGAATCATTCGGGTTTAGCCGTCTTGAAAGACGTGCGGCTAAACCCAAATGATCCTAGTTTTAGGTTTTGTGTTAGTTCTAGTGATAGTGCAAAACTAAAATTAACACAAGACCTAAACCTAGAATCATTCGGGTTTAGCCGTCTTGAAAGACGTGCGGCTAAACCCTAATGATTCTAGTTTTAGGTCTTGTGTTAGTTCTAGTGATAGTGCAAAACTAGAACTAACACAAGACCTAAAACTAGAATCATTCGGGTTTAGCCGTCTTGAAAGACGTGCGGCTAAACCCTAATGATTCTAGTTTTAGGTCTTGCGTTAGTTCTAGTGATAGTGCAAAACTAGTGTTAATTCTAGTGCTATAACGGACACTCCCTTCTCGGTATTAATACGTTATATCAGATATTAATTTTCTTTTGAATATTTTTGTTCTAATATTAAATTTTTTTTTGTATCGTAATAATTCTTTTGTGTGACCATAAAAAGCGACATTTGGTGTTTTTATCGTTTGGATCGAACAAAACAGGACTAGGAGGGGTCGAGAAAAAGTATTTCTCATGCCCTTAATTGCTCCCAAGAACGACGTTATATTACCAGAAGGGACGTTATTTGCATTTTCAGAGGCAAAACGTTGCCCAAGCGCATTCCTTCACAAACGCAGTGACATCGTGGCACGAGGTCCCGTGGCGATGCAATAAAGAGTGTTTGCGTATGTGGTAATGCTAATTCCGTATTCTGATCGTGCCTGACGAGTCTCAACCGTTTGAACGTGAAGTTTCTATCGTTTCAAACATTTTTCTTTCTCGACTATTGCTTTCTATTTGTCAAATCAAACTTTGAGTTTATGTTACCTAAACGATTGAATTAAACGAGGTACTAAATAATCGAGAAATCCTTTCAACAGATTCCGGCCCTTAATTGTTTAAGAGTTTCCCGATAAACATAGAGAGGGGGCTTAATTTCCACGTTGGTGTCGAGGGGGAATCGATTAATCGGCGTTTAATTTTTTAATTAAAATAGCCGTCATAAATCGGGTCGGCGGCGAACGTGGGGCCGAGGGGAATCTGGGTCGCGATTTCGCGTTTTTTTTTTTTGATTAATGGCGATGCTTTTTCACGGATTGTTTAAAAATTTCTGGCCTCTCGGAACGTTTCTTTCGCGCCGAAACGGCTAGAAATAACGCTGCGGTCGTCCGATGATGTAAAGTTACACCCTCTCCAAGTGATAGTTTATCTCTTCGGCTTTGTTGCCGTACAGTTATTAGTTTACTTTGTCTAAGAACGTTTTGTATACAAATTCCGCTGCCGTCGTCCTTTAGAAAACTTTATCGCAGACTAAAGCTTAATATACCTAGTTTGTGTTCCCCCAATAAAAAAGGCTCCGATGGAGGAGTACTTATTAAGAGAGGCGTGCTCAGAATTTAGAACGTCCTGTAGTGTTTACACTACGAAATTAATTACATCGCGAAGGCGTATGGGGTCACCAATAAAATTCGCTCGGTAACCATCTGATGAGTTTATAATAACGTCATCCTTGGACGTTTATACGTCCAATGGTTACACAATCTAATAACAATCGCTGCAAAATATATCTTTTATTACTCTTCCTAGCAAATATCGCAGTTGTATTGTTAAATACGTCGCGATGTCGTAAACAGATTCAAACGCGCTCCAAAAACTCATATCTCCAGATGTAAATCACTGAAACTTTATAACCTTATGAAACTTTGCTATAAAACATTATTAATATTTAGAATATTAGTAATACATTATCACTCTACATACATTGTATTAATTAATTATCGTACCCGACGTCATCATTGCAAGTATGTAACCAACTACGCAAATCGCGTATTGCAATACCAATACTGTGATATTGGTTGCATACTTAATTATATTTATTTATGCAACCAATATCACAGTATTGGTATTGCAATACGCGATTTGCGTAGTTGGTTACATACTTGCAATGATGACGTCGGTATAATGTATAAAATCTTTTGATGGCATATATATATTATTAATATTTATCCAAATGTAGTCGTGATGTTTCGTAATTTGTGCCAAGTTCAATCTGGATCATAATGACTTTTCTAACACATTTCATTCAGTATGATTTATTCAATGAAAAAGACTACAATAATTATTATATGTATTGCTTATCGAAATCAGCTCATATCAATGATAACAATTTCCGGATATAACGATAATGTCGATTATATAAGTTTAAAAATTTTATATATAAATAATGAAAAGCTGGTAAATAATAATTTTATAAGTGGAACTGTTTTTACTTTCACCGTTAGAAATTGTGAAAGTTGCGAAACGACCTCAAATGAAATGTTAACACGCGACCTCTCGGGTTAATCCCCCCACATAATTTTAAGGTTAATTTACGACCCGGCCATCGGAGTTGCTTAATTTCGTCGTAATTATGTTTGTCTTACGCGGTCGCGGAGGGGCGAATGTAGTTTGCGGACTTCATTCAGTAGATTTTGTCATAAAGGTCCGCAAAATGCCATAAGTAGATAAGCATGCAGTGGTAAATGGATGACAAAAGGCTGGGTAAATACTCGGTAATCATACGCTTGTGTCTTTCTCACTCTCGCACGCTAATTGAGGGGCCGTTTAATCTCAAATCAAACAGCCCATCTTGCCCCGGATTATTTACATTTGTGCTGATATGAAGACAATGTACGAATAAGAGATATTTAGGACCTAAATTTTAGACGAAATCACCCACTTCGTTTAGTGATCGTGTCGTGAATAGTTCTACGTATATAAATATATGGTGAGTGACTCTTATCACCGGATGTTACTAAATCTTTGTTGACAACATATTCACTTTGAATGTATTATAATAATTCATTAAAACCGCCCATTTTTTAACGTCAATAATTCTCGCCGCGACAGAGTAAACACTTCCTTATCGATTCGACCGTTGTAGATGGGAATCTTATCGTCGAACCATACTTAAGGTGGCGGCAGTAATTTTTGGCCCCCTTTATAATTAAAGAGAGTCCCCGGTAGCACGTGGTACACATTTGCGATCGGTAGTCAACAGCCTTGCCCCCTTTTATCATACCGTTTATACGTGGGGAAGAATGATTTATGTAGAAATTTCGATTTGGCGATGGAAGGTCGATCGTTTATTCTTCTATTCGTGCTGCCCAGTCGATGTATCCGTTTACCTATTCGCTCGATCCCGTAGGTGTTGTTTCCGTTATGTTGCCAGAGAGGAATCGCCTATTATAATCCCACCTACGTTTGCAGTTTTTTTTTTATTCGAGGGTGAACGTGAAAGTTATACGTTGAATATTTTATATCTGCAAGGATTGCTTTTTTAATCTAATCTTTATCATAATTAGACTACAATATGAGATACTCATATTATACCACCATCTGCGAGAATGTCAGGAAAGAGTTTCCAGACGCTTTCCTGACATTTGATTGAAGTTTGTATTCTAGCTACAGCAATTTCAAACTTTTTGGCCATATGGTGTCTGGCCGTTGAATAATTCTAGACTTTTTCTTGAAATAGGACATCAACCGAGTGCAATTCCAAACATTTTCTTAACCTCTGATATCTTCCCAGTGTAATTACAAACTTGTCCTTACAATTTTTAATCATATCAGTGCCATTACAGATTTTATCTTGCACTTTGATCTTTAGTTAAAGTAAATCTAAGTGTTTCCAGACATTTAATTGAAGTTTGGACTCTGGTTATAACAATTTCAACCTTTTTGGCAATATGGTGTCTGGTCGTTGCATAATTCTAGACTTTTTCTTGAAATAGGACATCAACCCAGTGCAATTCGAAACATTTTCTTAACGTCTGATATCTTCCTAGTGTGTTACATATCAGTACAATTACAGATGTTATCGTGCACTTTGATCTTTGGCTAAAGTAAATGATAATCTTGGAGAAAGTGTATCCATGTTATATTATATGCAAATATAATGTGCCGAAGAAAGTGTAATGTTCCACATACATAAAATTATTTTTGCAGAATAACAATTACCTTTGTTGCAATATGGTGGACTGAGTATTTTAATGAATGGTTTAAGTAAAAAAAAATATAATAAAACGCTTATTGATTGAAAGATAGGATTATATTTGATATTATAAGATTGACCCAATTCGATAGGGATTGAACATTGAAAAATAGAAAATATCAGGTCGGCACGTGCAAAATTGAATATTAATCAAATTCAGTTCTGGTTGGATGTGGAAGAAGACGCCGGAAGACAGAGCGAGCGGTTTGGGGAAAGGCGTCGGAGAGGGGACGAGGTTGGTAATGGAAGAGTGGAAGAAGCCCGTGGGTATCCGAGGCGAGCTGGCGACGTGTTCGTGAAGGTCCGGGAGCTCGTGCGCGCCGCTCGGTGGCGCCAGCGTCGTGTTTATGCGCAATACGATTAAGAACTCGGCGATCGAACAGTGACGAAGGCAGAGCCAGAGTGTTCGAGGCGGCCCCGTTGTGAATTCCCACTTGCGATCGGATTCCATGATCACTGGCCAGAACGGGGTCGAGCGAGTGCGAGCGAGCTGAGTTCGTGTCCGGGTGGTTCCTGGGTGCCGTCAAACCAGTGCCCGCGCGACAAATGTTAACCTGACCGTTACCTCGCGACGTCAAGTCAAGCCGGACAGTGAAAAGGGCTCGACGGACCGGGGCTTGAAGTAAGTGCGCCCGATTTAGGTCATGGCAAAGTGGCTTGGGGCACCCCGAGGGCCTTAGGACTCAAGTTACGAACGAAACCCTAAGGCCGACGGAGGAATTGCCACTAAGACCGAAGGCCGGGTTCTGGGCCCCGCGACGACACTGACCTTTACGGTACCACCGCGGACCGAGGTTCGGTGACGTCAGGGTCCCGGTTCCCCCCGCAGTTCAGTACAATGTCACTACCGAACCACATGTCGTGTCACCTGTACCATCGAAATCCACGGCCCGCTATTAGTTTTGCGAGAATCGATCGTTAAGCTCGTCGTCGGAGTAGAGTAGTCAGGATGACGTCATGTCTCCATCAGATTCCTGACTAGCGTATATTATAAATAACTTCTTCGCTATTGCTTGTATTGCCTATTTTCCGCTCAGTTTACTAATAAGCCTCTTTTGCGAATACATACCTCCTTTCGCCTTTCCGACCCCCTCCCCCCGATCTCTCGATACCGACAAGAGAGTACGTCGCCTCTAAGACCTTGCAGAGCCCGGATATATACAAAATTAACTGAAGCTCGATCATACTGTCAGTTGCTACGTCAGAGTGTGTATCTTTCTATATATTCTTCAAAGTGCGCGCGCTGGCAACATACCTGCTGTAACTTCTTCTACTCTTCCGACGTACAAATTGTAGACTCATCAAAAATAGACCCAGACAATTATGTCACAGCCAACGTGTTTATCGTCCGCGAAATGTTTTAGACGATAAGTAGGTCTCCGACTTTCTCTCATTTACCTATTTACCACGACTTCAAAACTCTCCTTGATTAGTTCTTTTATCACCGACCTCGCCTTGAAAAGTATCCGTGCCGGTATCTCATCTGGGTCACCCAACTCTTTAACACTTATATATCATATAACATCCAAAGAAAATTTTCCTTCCTCAAAATATACCCACATTTTCTATACAGGATATTCAGTTTAATTGACCATAAAGCATGAAGTAATGCTTTAAAGTTATTATTGTTACATCAATTCCATTTATAAATTCTTGTAATAACGTCAACACCATGTCAAAGTGAAGTTAACCCGGCAAGCAAATGCAATTATTATCAACACCAACTAGACTTCTACCAAAGTATCCTTTAACACAATCTGAGTAAGCAACATAGTTCAATTATTGACTTTGGTAGTGATCCAATAAATCCAGACGTCATCCAGGCTGTTAAAGCTTTTATCTGGGTCACCCACTTTCTCAATTCTACACCCCCAGCGATATCCACTGACCAGAAACTTTTATTTGCCGTTTTAAATTTCAAAACTTTTAATTTAAAAGAAATTTAATTAGAAATACAAATCTTAATTACAAGTGTTCTTAATTATAACTAATCTTAATTACAAATTTTCCTAACTACAAATGATCTTAATTACAATTTTTTTATTAACTACAACTCATAATAGAGCTTTGTTATTTTCGAAGAATTTTTGATCGAAATAACGGAGCAAAGTTTGGTAAGGATTTTGTAACCCGTGCGCTTGGAGAAGTGCTTTTTTTGATTGGCTGACGCCGAGAGTACCCTTAAACACCCACTTAGACCACGAACGCAGATAAAGCCTTGTTGAGATTGTTATTCTTTTATAACTACTTCGTTACCGTTTTATCCGGATATTTCTTGACGCTTATCACACTTGATAATTAATAAACCGTTAACTACTAGTTTTTGATCGTAACGATTAAGAAAGAAAATTTTCGGTTATCATTGTCTTTTCGACAGTCAGAGTTTTCGGTTCTGAGTGGTGATATTAAGGTAATATAAATAACATTAAATTTGGAATTTCTGAACTGCAAAGTGACTTACGGGCTATAGCCGGTTTTGTCTGGAACTACCGCGGTATTATTAGACCTTTCTAAAAGCTTCAAGTCGATAATAGCCAAAGCAATATTAATCGTTTGATGTTTGAAAACTTGCTGCTGTGTTTTTGACAACAAGCTATAATCGCTTTAAACAATATTTTTTTGTATTTGATTGTTTGTGTTTTGTTACAGATCTAGCTAAAAGAAATGGCTACCATTGATGGTCGACCTGCGCAGTATGGGATCACTCTCAAGCAGCTCCGGGACCTCATGGAGCACCGGGGCCGAGAGGGTGTGACCAAGGTGCAGGATCTGGGAGGAGTACAAGAAATTTGTAAGAAGCTTTATACATCGCCCAATGAAGGTAAGTTGAAGAAGGAAGAATGGAACCGGGGAAGAATGTTCTTTTTATTTATATAGGACTTAGCGGTTCGCAAGTGGATTGCGACCATCGAAGAGAAACGTTCGGATCGAACTGTATTCCTCCCAAGCCTCCGAAAACGTTCCTGCAGCTGGTATGGGAGGCGCTGCAGGATATTACCCTTATCATCCTGGAGGTAGCAGCTATAGTTTCGTTAGGTCTCTCGTTTTATAACCCCCCGAGAGAAGAAGACGAACGTAAGTTGATTCGTGGCGATTAGAAACGGGGAAGAAAATGAGTCCTTTTTCTTTTGGTTTAGTTCTCGAAGATGATGATTCTAGCCACGGGTGGATCGAGGGTCTGGCCATCTTAATTTCCGTTATAGTTGTCGTGTTAGTTACCGCTTTTAATGATTACACCAAAGAGCGGCAGTTCCGCGGTCTGCAGAGTCGGATTGAGGGAGAGCACAAGTTCTCCGTCATACGGCAAAGTGAGGTGAAGCAGATCGGCGTCAGTGAAATTGTCGTCGGTGACATTTGCCAGATCAAGTATGGCGATCTGCTGCCCGCGGACGGTATCCTTATCCAGTCGAATGACTTGAAGGTAAGTAGTAGCCGGTTTGCGCCGGAATTCTCTCTCTCCCGATGTAGCCGGGTTGCATATTTTATATTTAACCAAGGTTATTGTTATAAATAAGCGACACTTTGCTCTATTTCAGACAATACCAGTTTTTTGATCAAATCGTAATAGCGTCCATTGATTCGTTGGTACGCTGAGCCGTTATCGTTCATTGACGGTACGCTGCCGTTATAAGTTATATAATTAAATAAAACCTTGAAATAGATTCGTAAACCTGCTCCGCTTGTGTTCTCTGCTCTCAGTTTATTGATTTTCTTATCTTCGCAGATAATTTTAGCGCAAATATATGCCGCAGACCAAATAATCTCGCGCTATTTTTCTATTTATACCAATTTTTCCGCGCCTTCTGTTTCCAAATATTATCTACCGATATGTTATTATTATTACTCCTCTTCAGCTTCTCAAATTAATTAGTTTTTATTTCTATTTGTTCATAATCCATTATCAGTTTATGTAAATATTATTAACATCTATTATAAACTATCGTGCTATGCAGTTCTTAATATTTCCATTTGTCGACTATTTCCTGAGACGACAGATGATCAACCACATTTCCCGGTCGACATATTGATTCTCACCAGCTGCTCGGGTCTAAATAATTCTGACGTCCGTTTGAATTAGTAATCGAACTAAAATCATCCACGTTTACCGATCACAAGTGAGGTCTTCAAATCGATGAAATGTTGAACAATACAAAATAAAAATTTTTAATTCGACGTACATTTTTTCGAGCTAACCGTTATTTTTCCTCATCGGTTTTCCACAATAACCAATAAACGGTATCGCTACTTCTTAGAAAATTATTTATCTACAATCAAAAACATTTTCCGCGGTTTTATCGTTAAAACGAAATGGATGATTCACGATAACAACGTCACTTTCAGACTGTGACAAGACGCCGATGACGCGTTCGTCGACGCCGGGCCAGCCTCGGACTCTAAAATTATCGCCTTATGTAATACCCTACAAAGAACGAACGCGAATTTGTCGTGACCGGTTATTTTCGGGATGAACTGGACGTCTCTCGATTTTTTACGTTTTAATCTTTAAGATCAAATCATTTTCTCCCAGTTTTTGTAGACTTCATTTTTGTCATCCTCGGAATCAATACTCTAACGGGGTGTGTTTACGAAATACGTTTTTCGTTTGATGGGCCGTTTCGCTTAGAAAAATGGGTCACAGCCCCGTCTGGCCGCGTACGAAATAGCGCTCATTCCGCGTATGTCATCGTTGGCAGAAATAGGAATGCGCTGTCCAACTTTCACTCGGGGACTCGTTTTTCTTATTTTGAACTAGGTCGCGAACGTTTTTGCAACGACCGTCGAGAAGACTACTGTATGATATGTGCTTTTTCTCATGGCCATACAGAGTTTTCTTCTTACGATCAAATCGCGGACTTTGTGACTCACGCCGTTTGTAAATATTTAAATCTACTCCTCGGCACATGTGTTACCGGCGGATTATAGTAGATAAAACCACGATCTATTTAAGCGACTTTTGTGTTGATTTGAAGTTCAGTTTGTTGACAGAATTTTCTATTAACCAAACCTGACATCCATCAACGTGAACTAAAGTCAATATATCAACAATGTTAAATTTAGTATTTAGAGTAATATGGTGTTATATCTCTCAACATTAATAACACAATTTTTTTTTAATATCATATTAAAAGAGGTTGGAAGTACTGGTTATATAACGTTGAGTTAAGTTTAATTATTGGGAAATCAACCAAAAAGGGGAAGGAATCGAAAAACCTCCTTTAATTAATCCAAGCTTTCGATAAATATATTCTTAACTTCGTCAGGGTACGCTACGAAGAGATTACACGCAATTCCATCAAACATTTCTTGAGACTTACATTTAGAGGTTAAAATTATTAATTAATACACTGATGTTGAATAGAACTAAGTCCCGAAAAAGAAAGGAAAGATCAAAAACACTAATTAATGTAACGACAACTTGATTAACAACCAACGCGATCAACCGTCAATAAAAGGCGCGAAACCGATCGAACAGGGACGGCAACTGTCTCTGGCGGGAAAACTTACGAAAATAAAAGTCACCAAGTTGACGGCAGACAGAAAGAGAAGATGGCGTCGCTCGATTAATAATTAAAGGAGATTTTTTGATTAATTTCCCAATAATTAAACTTAAATCATATATTAAATTTTGATTCAATAGTCAATATTGAAATAATAACCACGTTGCGGTTATCAAAAGTAAAAGGTGCGGTGAACCACAAAAATTAATTAATTATGTAATGTTTTAAGAGTTGAGCTTAAATTTGGTCTGGATGATTTAATATTCATCGGTGATAATTTCCTTTTATTTCTGTTGACCTTCGAGACTTTAAACCTGACCCTCTCTGAGTGAATGTCGGCATTAAAAATGAATGCTCCTTGCATAGAAGTGTTAGACCCTTGTGTTTACGGGAAAATGGTTAAATTATTCAAATTGATCGATTGTTGAATGGGTGTGAAAAAATGTTTCAACATTGTTTTTTTTGTCGATTCCTTTTAAGGCGTTCCTAAATCTGTTCTGTTTCTACTAAATCATTGGGACTATTTTTAAGTAGCCAACAAGTAAGGGTTCTGGCACGTGTTGGCCACACATGATTCGGCTTCAAAAGCCGCGTTGGTTCAGGTCCATTACATTCTTTCGTATACTGAATTGCTTTCCAGATCGGGTTACTAGCTCTTACGGCGATGACGTAACCCAGCCGTATAGAATAATATGACCTTTGCAATAATTACCGCATATTATTAAGGCAGTTACGTGTTTTATAAAACTCTTCTGACTGCTATTTAAAACGCAAACGTTATGTCGCTTCTGTTTCCGTTTAAAAAAAAACGTGAATACTTGACGTGCTCCGATACGTTTGTCACGACCTTGGTTTAGTTTTGTTTAACTTTAATAAACAACATTTCTTGTTTGACTTTCAAAATATTTTTAATTTCATCTACAAAATAACGGTTATGTTCTAATATTTTTAAAAAGTGTATAGTTTAAATTTTATGGTGTTATTACTATTAATATTAACAAGCTGAAATGTTACATAAGGGCAAGCCTTCTAATCTAACTCTCGTCACGGTTGCTCATAAGGGCCATTCTCTTAATTTTGTTCCACTCGAGCGACTGGCGCCCTATTTCAGGGCTTAAACATTTTAATTGTCATGTTTCTGCCCAGGCATTTCTAAATTGGGTTACTGCGCACGGCTTCTCAACAACCGTTTCCGCAGTTTTATTATTTTTTTTTTCTACACAATTTGTGCCGCAACCGTAACAGCATAAAGGTGTTCGACGACGGTTTTTTATTGCGCGTTTTTTAATTAACGGAACTCACGAAAGCGTTTGGAAGTGCAACCATTCCATTTTACGCAACCCAAAAAGAGCCACTCTTCATACGTCTACGTGTTCGGAATGAATGCATATTAAGCAGTCACAAACCGTGCCGTTGGGGATACTTGGGAATATCTTGGATTTCATTGTAGAGCGATATCGCTTTGTAAAATTTATAACGGACATCCTGCGATCTGTTTAGTTACACAATAGGAATCGCAGTTTCAATACTAAAGGGGGAAGCTATATATTGATCTTTAACTCGGCTGATGGGATTAACTTAACACGGAAAACATCGAAATTACTGTATTGTGGCATCGAAAACTTCATCGATTTCGAAAATATTTGAATAAATGTTTGCGTTCATCAAGCAAACCACCCCACCTATTTTTAGTGATATTTTGTTTCTCAAGGCTTGTCCCTTGTTATCCAATTAGATTCGAATCAAATTGTCACGTAAACACACATTTCAGTTCCTCGAAAGGAGAGATATTGTTATCGGAAACAATCGAAGGTGTTTTGATGTTGTCGTAGATTTGTTATGGGATTAGAGTTGTGTCAACAACGAAATTCATCGATTTAGACATCCTCCTGGATGTTCTGGGGAGTGATCTTGAAATCGTTGGTGTTTGTTTCCGTAAACACCGGAAATGTTTCCCTTAATTATATAGGGGTTAGGGAACGGTGTTATAATACTATAAAAGATGTTTTTATTATGTTTTATTATAGATTTATTATATTATAACTTGTTATAGATTGATGAATCCTCGTTAACTGGCGAATCTGATCATGTAAAGAAAGGAGAGAATTTTGATCCGATGGTTCTATCTGGTACGCACGTTATGGAAGGATCGGGTAAAATGTTGGTAACGGCAGTGGGCGTGAACTCGCAGGCAGGTATTATTTTTACGTTACTGGGAGCAGCGGTGGATCAACAAGAGGCGGAAATGAAGAAGCAAAAGAAAGGTAGGTAGGGCGCAGACGATGGCCGTTTAAACTTCCATTTTCTGTGATAGAGACCATTTAGAAGTTGGCATGTGTTACTGTAATATTTCTCTCTAAATGTGTCGGGATCCAAAATTTTCCATCTCGCGTTCGCGTTAAGACGAAACATGGCGGAATCAAAACGAGCAACGTTTGTTGTTGTTATTATTGCATTCGTCGCAATAATGGACGTGTGCGGAAACCGGTCGAACGTATGCAATCTTCCGGTTGCATGTTGTTCCGGTTTCCTCGGACATAGAGCGTATCTCGCATTGCATTATGCCCGTTTGACATGATATTCGCACGTTATTGTGCGCGGTCGCGTTAATACGTTGAAATCGATTTTTAGAAAGAACGAGTGCCCGCGAACTTTTGGCACAAAGTTTTATGACAATGTCGCTCGAATTATAAACAGTCGCTCGAATGTAGATCGTTTCTATTTCCAGTTTTACATTCCGCCATGTGCCCGTCTACGTTGTATACGTAGATTCGTTATTTTTTTACGTACCTCTTTCGCCCATATCGGGACTTGGGTTTATTTTCCTTGCTAATGTCATCCTTTTGCATGTGTTTTTTATACAGAACAGAAAAAGCAACGGAAGAAGAAAAGTTTAACAGGTGAACTATTTTTTTTCTTATTATATAATCCTAATAAATTAACATATAAATAAAGTTTTTTTAAGCGAAATAAAAAAAAATAAATAAAAGCAACTAATTAAATAAATGAATTGTATAAGGGTCGCGGGAATTTTTTTCAACTTTACACATATGTTTGTGCCTGTCTTGTCATAGTGTGCACACTTCTATCCCCACCCCCCAAACGCATTCTATTGATGTGTCTTCTGTTTTTCTTACAAAATTTAACATGAGGCGCGGTTTTTTGTAAATTTTTCTCTATCGCATGGAACGATTGTGGAAAAGATCGCTTTGACCCTTTACTGACCCAAAGCATGTCACCTCTTGTTGTTCTGTAAATATCGTGACAATTATCGGCGTAATCGTAAAGAATTCGTTTCTCCCGACGTCCCATTTTAGCGAAAAAAGAACATCGATAACCGCGCCATCTGCACGTAGAAAGCCTCGTGGCCGCAATACCTCCATACGTAGGGTAGGTAATGAAGATTTGTGGGGTTATTTTCGCCCCCCGAGATCAATACCGATGAATTAATGAGTTGCTCACGTGCTTTCGGTCGGAGCTCATTTCTTTCAAAGCTTCCGACCGTTTATTCTTGTTTTATCATGATCAAACTTGATGCTAAAGTCTAAGGAATTGTATTCCTTTAAAATAATTTCATTATCAATAAATCTTAATTAATCTTAATAAATCCCCATCAATTAAAAAATTGAAGAAAATAATTTCTTATCATCCTCACTAATTACCCGGTTCGATTCGCGTCAATTTCAAATTAAGCGTTAATCCTTGTATTAATAAAAATAATCATAATCATAACCAATAAATCTTATCTACATTATCACAAATTGTAGTTGCAACTTCAAAGACCGATTTCGACAGTTTGCCTCGTTCTAAATGCGACTCCTTCGTTGAAAAACCTTGGGATCGGTCGAGATAACCAACCATGAGGATCGAATTGGGTTTGGCTGGACAGACCGTTGGAGAAAGGGAGCGTCGCGTGGATTTAACGATCGATAGGTTTCGCTCCGAAGGAGGCGGCCCCGGGGCAAACGGTCGAAGTGGAGCCCGATTATTGAAAGGGATGTCGGGAGATGTTGGGGAAATGGGTTCGAATCGTATTCCCGCGTACCCTTATACGTTAACATGCTTTTTGATGCGTTTTCACGTGTTATTCTGAACACATTACAACCTCTCATGTTACCGCAGGAGATGAAGAATCCGCTGTTACTGGTAATAGTCATATGAACTCGCCGCCGGTGGCCAATAAACATGATGGAACAGGTGCGGAAGATGGTAAAGAAAACCATGTATCGTCTTCTCAACCGTCGGGAGATGGACACAAGAAAGAGAAGAGTGTTTTGCAGGCTAAATTGACTAAGCTCGCCATTCAAATTGGTTACGCGGGGTCCACCATCGCCGTGCTTACCGTTGTTATCTTGGTTATACAATTCTGCGTCAAAACTTTTGTTATCGACAAGGAGCCGTGGAAAAACTCCTATGCCAGTAATCTAGTCCGTCATCTTATTATCGGTGTAACTGTTCTTGTCGTCGCAGTACCTGAAGGGCTGCCACTTGCTGTAACACTATCATTGGCATACAGTGTAAAGGTAAGATTGTTTGTTATATCATTTTGTTATTACTAAAATTTGATTTTTTATATTTTTTGTGTTTTATAGAAAATGATGAAGGATAACAATTTGGTCAGACATTTGGATGCGTGTGAAACTATGGGCAACGCCACTTCCATCTGTTCGGACAAGACCGGCACGCTAACTACGAATCGGATGACTGTAGTGCAGTCCTACATTTGCGAACAGCTCTGCAAGACGATGCCGAAATTCTCGGATATTCCTCAACATGTTGGCAACCTTATAGTGCAGGGTATTTCAATCAATTCGGCTTACACTTCGAGGATTATGGTAAATAATATTTAAATTCTTGGAATTTGGTTGTTTGGTTCTATTATACACTTGCAACTTGTTGCTGCGGAGGTATCTTAGATAGAAACACCAATTTACTGTTTATATTATACGAGAAGTATTAGAACCATATGGCTAAGAGGTATTTCTCATATTTGGTAGCCGGCAGACGAACCTGGAGAGCTTCCAAAGCAAGTTGGCAACAAGACAGAGTGCGCGCTACTGGGCTTCGTGACGGGCCTTGGAAAGAACTATCAGACAGTGCGTGATGACCAGCCGGAAGAAACGTTTACACGTGTGTACACGTTCAATTCAGTTAGGAAGTCGATGAGCACGGTGGTTCCGAGACCAGGCGGTGGCTACCGACTGTTTACGAAGGGAGCTTCAGAGATAATTTTAAACAAGTGTGCCTTCATCTACGGCCATGACGGCCGACTCGAAAAGTTCACCAGGGACATGCAAGAGAGGCTGCTCAAACAAGTCATTGAGCCAATGGCTTGCGAGGGTTTGCGTACCATTTCCATCGCGTATAAAGACTTCGTACCAGGCAAGGCGGAAATTAATCAAGTTCACGTAGAAGGCGAACCCAATTGGAACGACGAGGAACACATCGTAAGCAATTTGACGTGTCTCTGCGTCGTCGGCATTGAGGACCCCGTCCGTCCCGAGGTCCCCGATGCTATTAGGAAATGCCAGAAGGCCGGTATCACCGTCCGCATGGTCACTGGCGATAACATCAACACCGCCCGCTCGATTTCTACCAAGTGCGGCATCGTCCGCCCGAATGAAGATTTCCTTATTTTAGAGGGCAAGGAATTTAATCGTCGCATCAGGGATAGTAACGGCGATGTTCAACAGCATTTGCTCGACAAAGTTTGGCCTAAGTTACGGGTACTGGCACGATCATCACCCACAGATAAATATACATTAGTTAAGGGAATTATTGACAGTAAAGTTAACGACAACAGAGAAGTCGTCGCCGTAACCGGTGACGGTACTAACGACGGCCCAGCTTTAAAGAAAGCTGATGTCGGTTTTGCTATGGTATGGCTTATTTCTTTCTCATTTAGCCCGTCAAGGCATACTATTAAAATCTTATCTTTTAGGGTATCGCTGGTACCGATGTAGCAAAGGAAGCTTCCGATATTATTTTAACGGATGATAACTTTAGTAGCATTGTAAAAGCTGTTATGTGGGGAAGGAACGTGTACGACAGTATAGCAAAGTTCTTACAGTTCCAACTTACTGTTAATGTTGTAGCTGTTATTGTAGCGTTTATCGGTGCCTGCGCTGTGCAAGACAGCCCTTTGAAGGTATTTTTTAAATCAATTTTATTATATTACCAAAAGAAACTCCATTTTTTATTTAGGCTGTACAAATGTTATGGGTAAACTTAATTATGGACACACTAGCGTCTTTAGCTTTGGCTACGGAACTTCCAACTCCAGATTTGTTATTGAGGAAACCCTATGGCAGAACAAAACCCCTCATATCGAGAACTATGATGAAAAATATCCTTGGACAAGCCGTTTACCAACTAACTGTAATTTTCTCGCTACTTTTCGTAGGTAAGATAATAAAGCAGCTTTAAAAAAATAAAACATATTTATTAATAAAATTCTTGTTACAGGTGATAAACTTTTGGATATTGAATCCGGACGAGGTAAAGATTATCGCGCGGGCCCAACACAACATTTCACGGTCATTTTTAATTCCTTCGTCATGATGACGCTTTTCAACGAGTTTAACGCTCGTAAAATTCACGGTCAGCGCAACGTCTTCGAAGGTATCTTCACGAATCGCATCTTCTGCAGCATTTGGATAGGCACATGTTTAGCACAGGTTTTAAGTCAATTTTTGTTTCCCGCATATCCCACTGATCCATTCCTTTTAGGGCGTTATCATTCAATATGGTAAAATGGCTTTCTCGACGAAAAGTCTCACTTTGGAACAGTGGCTGTGGTGTTTGTTCTTTGGAGTAGGCACATTGCTCTGGGGTCAGGTTGTAACAACCGTTCCTACACGGAAGATTCCCAAAATCCTATCGTACGTTGTACAACTTTGTATTTATTTAGATGAATTTTGCAACGTGAAGTTGAATATGTATGAATATATATTTGTGATTATGATGTTTTAGTTGGGGCAGAGGACATCCTGATGATTACCCAGATCCAGTGGCAGGTGATGAGAAGTTCGACGTGGACTCGGACAAGAAGCCCAGAGCGGGCCAAATATTGTGGATTCGCGGGCTAACCAGACTTCAGACGCAGGTAAGTCACCTGGGCATGGAACATTGCTCATTGGGCAATGTGAGACACGCGGCCGTTGCGCCGAGTTGAAGGTATTAGGCGTAATGTCATTGAGTGATTGATGAACAGAGCTCATAACATAGGAGTTGATGATAGGTATTTTTTAAGTCCAAATGAGTTGAGGTTCCCCCATCCAATACCCATCCGTACCCCTACCTCAGAACGTTCCCCACGACTATCAATGTTAGTCTATTGAGAACGCATGGTGCATTGACATCTGATTGTGCGATATATAAGGATTTATTTGGAAAGTCGGGCACGTCTCGCATAAAGAGGTGCCAAGCTTTAGTTGTCAGTGTTCCTTGTAGCGTAGATATATACGAGGATGTGGTTTTGGAAATTAATCAATTTTGTTTTGTTCTGTTGTTTTACTCGTAAATTCGTAGTGACCGAGTGTCCGTTTGGTTTGGTTTTTTTACGCAATGCCTTAACTTTCCCCTGTTTAATGTAACGGTGGATTTACATCCGTCCTCGGTCCAAAAAAAAAAAGAATTAAAAAAGAGAAACCAAAAGACAGAAAGAAAAAAAAAGAGATACAATTGCGCTTCCAATGCGAAGAAAGATAAGGATACAAACAAGTTGGTGATATTTTACATTTGCTTGCATTTATACTAACACGCCCGATTAGGCTCGAAAGCCATTTTTTTTTTCTCCAATTTACCCTAACGCCCTGTTCAGGCATGCTAAAACTTTCCCCCCGCTGGCCATTGTACACCGGCATCAGCATCACGAACAGTAGTTAGCTTTTCGCGGAACACGTAGACACTAGCGCTCGTAGCGTTTAGTACTTGCATGAGCGTCCGATATGTTGACTCGTCAGAGCCCCCTGGTTGGCTGTGTTGTCTAAGGTTGCACCACACCTCTGACTCAACCCACGGATCTCTCACTACTATACTGTTCTATCCAAGGTCTTACTTCCGAGTAGCACGTTTGTTACAGAATTGGGCAGCCAAACTACACTTTTTCGGGTCATTAAATAGAAAGCACATATGGATATTGAAAAGGCGATAATTGTACTAATTGGCTGAGTCAATTTTGGTATAATAATATTGAATTAGAAAAATTAATATTTATTCCATTTGTTACGTAAATATTTTGATACACATAAAAATGCGATTTGACTGCACCATAAACACTATTCTCACAAATACGATTGGTTTTATAAAAGTTTTACGCATGCATTTAAGCATATTTAATTGATATCTTCCTTGTGTAATATAATACCCTACATTTTTGTAAAAAAAAAAAAATAATTTAGTTTAAATTATGCATTCAACGTGAATTTTGAGATAGAAGATGGTAAGCCAAGGAGAAAATTGATTTGGCAACATAATAACTGGAAAATGTCCAAAAGATATATTAAATATTTCAAGTAAATTGGGATTGTAATGGAAAGCTTTTAAAATATGACAAGTTGTTGCAAGTTTATTAATTGAAGTGTAATGCGTGCGTAAAACTATAGCAATTGGATTAGTTGTGCTACTCGGCGACTGTATTTGTGGTTTGCCGAAAGCTGTTACCCTCCCGTTTATTGATACTCTACTACATTTTTTAAATAATGTATCAAAGAAGTTAAATTTATTTTTTGGCGCGCGCGTTCAAAATTTCGCTGTCGGTTAGCCGCGGCGCGAATTAGATTCGACTATTCAGGTACTTAACTGTTATTTATTTATTAGCCGGCGGAACCCATGAGAGAAACTGAGGTATAGGAATACTGTGGGTTTATGAAGCGATCCCTGCAGTACAAACAACAAGTACGTAGCTTGTAGTAGGCGTTAGCTTTATGCAATTACTGCGATGCATTCTGCTGTGTTTGCACTGTGGTGTAGAGCTGTATTAGAGCCACCTTTGCCCCCAATACTTGTATGTCAACCCCACTCTTAGTAGACCTTAGTCACCGGTACTAACTCGCAAACTTAACAAATAATTGACGTTAACGTCCCATAACATCTTACTACTACTACTCAAGTGCTTCCTGAATGACAACACAGCCATGTGGAGTCAGTTAAGCAGATCTATGTCGAGGTATTAACATTCCGTGATATAGAACGGCGTCGTTATATAACATGCGCAAGCAACAAAACGGTATCTTTTCTAATAACATCAGTGGTGTGGCTTGTGTCGACTGGATGGTGCTTGTTACAGCTTCGTTCCTCGCTTGTTTATCGGCAAGCATTTATGTTACTAAACATGGCGAAATGTCTCGGGCTGTATGTTGGTGTCGCTGTACATTACTCTTTGTAATACCGACTTCCAGTATCCGTGTTTTCTTATCAAATTCGACTTACACTTTAATCTTAGTCAGGGTTGAATGAAAAACCGAAAATGTGTATATATTGTATATACCGATTTGTAAAGTGTGTTATAACATTCAACCCCGTCGAAAGAGGAAATAAAAACAATCATTAACCATGAGCATTAGCACGATGGTAGCTTTCTATCATTACTAACACAGCTAACACATCATCTTATGGGGTCCATAGCACTCGTTTAATCATGCAAACAAAACTGACAGGGTCAAATCGTCTTTCGATGTAATCATCCGCTGGTGGGCTAATTCGGGAGGAATTTATTGTGAAATTATCACCAATAATGAGTAGAACATACATTGAAGTAATGACAAGAAGGACGAATGTGCCGAAACCACGTGTCGTCTACAACTAATCTTCAACCATGCAAGCAACTGTATTGCCATTTATCAATTTTTGTTCCAATTTTTTAATAGCCGTTAACGAAAAGAAAATGTGTCCGTTTTTTTGAGTGTATTCCTGTAGAAAACAAGTTGAAAGCAAGTTGAAATGGTTGAAAGATAAATGTTGAACAGACCCGAAATGAAGCGAGTGAGGAACCAATCGCGTATAAAAATAAATTACGTAACTTAAACACCTTTTATTTGATTTTTGATACTTATAATTGGAATTGTAGTGGATGAGATTAATTAAAGAATAAAGTTCAAAAAGGGTTTTAGGTTGCGTAAAAAATAATAGTAAGGGCGAGTGAGAGAAGGTGCGAGCGTGAGCATGACGATTGCGAGCATGCAGTTCCCGGCGTTATGAGTACCCTGCTTCCCTGTGTTTCCAGCTGCGAGTAATCAGAGCTTTCAAGTCGACCTTGGAGGACTTGGAGGAAAGGCGCTCGGTTCATAGTTTACACAGCTTACACAGTATGCGCAGCTCACGAAGTCACACGGGGCCGTGGCCCCCACGCCCGCTATCTGACATCACTTACATAGACGAGGATCCCACAGCTACCAAACTGTCGCCACAGCAACCGAGGACAGAAACAGACCACGGCGGCGCCGCAAACAAGCTGCTGTCTCCCCACACCTTAAGGCTCCCGCCCCACAACCCGCAGTTTGCACCTACCAACAATTCCGAGCTGCCCAAGCCAGTGCATGAAACCCGCATTTAGTGCCGACCCTGCATGATGAACGTGAATAGCGCCGACCTACCGGCAACCTAACGTTAAGTTTTCGCTCCGATGGAAAATACGAAAAGGAAGAACCCTTTTCTTCTAAATACAACGTCTATAAACCTTTATCCTCGAACCCCCAGCACCTATTTTAGTAGACTTGACCAAACTTTTTTTTATTACTAAGTATTTTTGTATTATTTTTGTAAATAATATTTCGTCGTCACTTGTAGCATAGCTATGTGTATAGCATTTTAGGGTAGCCTTAGAGACCTCTCAGGTTAGTTGGTAATGGAGACGGATATTTTATATTTGAACTATTCAGCGCATGCACACAACAGAGTTTTCGAGTTAATTGTATTGTGTGTCGAACGCCAACTTTCTGTTACATTACACATATATCGCCACTTTTATTATTATTATTATTATAATTATAATTACTATCATTTACTACTGTTCATTTCCTTCTATAACAACCGTTTGCATATTTAACTTACGATGCGTAAGTCGATTTCTGTCGTTTACTGACATTACCTACACTTCACTTTTACCTTTTATGCGTCCCCTTTACTTTCTCGTTCGTTTCAAACTATACTGCATCTCGGCGACCACGAACTTTGCGTTTGAAAGCTTAACTCGCTGATAAACTATTCGTAAATAAATGTTTATAGTTTTTTTCACAGTAGATTTATTTTTAGTATCTATTATTTTTTTTATAATTCACCCGAACACGCAGATGAGGTAAATGGTTTGTATCTTTGAAATAATAAAGGTAAGGTTTAGAAATGTAAAAAGAGTTAGTGTTAGGTTACGTTACAACGATATCGAAAACGAGTTAACTTTCAAATCGCAGCAAAAGAAGACATATATGGACAGATACCCAAAAAACGAATAATACAAAACAATGTGTCTACTAAATAATAAGACGCTTTCTTTCTTCTACTTTTACGTATATTCTCCGTATATATGTCAACTGAGTATTATTTAATAAATTAATAATAGTGTTATTTGTTGTCGATCAGTGTTGTATATGGTGAACTAACACGACTGCTGACAAAGAAGTTACTTATTAAACTGTACATACATAACAAGTCGCAAAGCGACCTACTCTGTTCTACTATATTCCGTTCTATCGGGATTACTCAGTATATGGGCCACTGTGGATACACGTTTCGAGCAATCGTGTGTCTGTAAATTTTTTTTATTGTACCACTTCTTGTTTACAGCACGTGACGAACGCGACCATGCGAACTGTACTGTCGACTTTATTTTCGTTTAGTTTCGAACCCTCGAATATACCTTGTACAGAAAATTACCTAACGTAGAAGTTACTTTTTCAGTTTCTTTTTTGGTATCTCTCCAATTCTTTTACTATTATTACATACAGCGAGTCGCAAAACTAATGAGACACGAACGAAACACAAATGAAACACAAATCAATCTTAAATGAAACACAAACGTAGTACTTAATAATTTTTGTCTTTGTGGTTTCTTCGCGTTCATCGGTGCGATTTGCCGTAGGTATTGTTAGTTCATTCGCATGCTCGCGT